TCATGTCTGTACCTCGAAAAATGTGGCCACAACAGCGAGTTAAAAAAGTCTGAGCCTGAGTGGGGATAAGGATTTTCTTGGAGAAGAAATACATTAGGTCTAATGGGGAGAGATTTCCGCCTATTTGGACAGTTGGTCACCTGCTGGCCAAGGGGTAAGATTTAATGATTTGAAACCTCTTTTGTGAGAAGCAGGACACATATACCTCCATTTTGATGTATTTTTTATGGGTGTGGATTGAGATTTGTGAGCGTGGGAGCGATATATTCGAGCGAGGCTCTGTCGATCAGAGACGAGGTCTGCACTCTAGCTGATGACATCATCACTCTAGCCTCTCCAATACACACCCATTATAAAGCCTGAAAATTTGTTGAAAACCACAAGTTGCTTAAAGCTAAATTGTGGAAAAACTGTAAAAGATATCAAAAAATTGAGTACAACTTTAATAGTCGACAAGTGAATGAACATTTTAAAGCAAAAATGAGGTCTCTAGGTGAAAGTATGCTGAAGTTATAAGACTTTAAATGTGGAAGAAAAAAAGGAAGAAGTGGAAGATTTCCCCATTGACTTCAATGTTAAAATTTTTGCACAAAAAGTTAAAAAAATCAAAAAGTATAAAGGGTAGAAAAAAAAAAATAGACGCAATAATGTCCTGAAGGAGTGGAATAGTTTAAAGTTTGAACGGTTGAAATCGGACAAAGTTTGAAGGAGGAGAAGCACGGCAAAAAACGGCGGAAGAATAATAATAATAAGTTTAATAAAGAACAGAATAACAATAAGTGGAAATGCTTGATCAGCATTTCCACTTAACTAGAAAAATTGCATTTCCTTGCAGAAAATGCGTGGAAATGCTGAGTGCTGAAAGCTGAAAAAGCAATGCTAAACTGCTAATAAAACATGGAGAAAGGCATAAATGTTAAAGCTGTTGAAGGGGTGAAAAAGAAATATAAGTTGGATAATAGTTTAATTGGTTGAAGGACAAATAGTATGAATATGCTCTATAAATGGAAATTTTATTCATGCTGAAAGAGGCTAGAAAAATGTCTAAAATTGCACAAAGTTTGAATGAAGAAGGAAACTGCCTTTAAAAGGCAGGAAGGTGAGAAGTGGCACAAGTTTAAGTTGTAGTACTAGAAGAAGTATGATAAGAAGTCAAGTCGTGATACTAGTAGTCATGTCAGCAGTAGAAGAAGATTGAGAATAAAAGAAGTATAAGTCAAAGTAGTAAAGAAAGTAGAAATAGTAGCAATAGCAGCAGTAGAGAAAGTAGAAATAGGAGCAATAGCAGTTGAAGTAGAGGGGAAAGTTCTAGTTTAATTGACATAAGTAGTTGTAGTACTAGAGGTAGGATTTTGTTTGAAGGACGGATTAATGCATAAATATTAAAAATAATATAAAACAGGGAAAATTTTATTAATTAAAAATCCTCAAGTATCAGACAGTTTTTAAGTATTAGAAAGGTTTGAATCATTTTGAATGAGTTTAAATTAGTTTGAAAAATTAAATGATAAATCATCACTGAGTGACTTTAAAATGTGAAAAATTTAAATGAATATAAATCCTAAATACACCCCATAATGTCCTCAATGAGCTTAAATTTTAAAGCCCTGAATGGTTTCTGTAGGTCAAAGGTCATGTGAGGAGATAGGGGCTGAAGGTTTTTCAAGCGCTCTAGGAAAGGGTTTTAAGTGTCATCCCCAGTGCTATGTGTACTGAGCCTGGCTTCATGTGTCTCATATGGCTATTAGAAGCAGCTTTCCAGTCAGCTGTGTGTCTCCAGGTGCACAAATTGGTTGCCATGGGGACCTTGGATGAATAACTATAGCAGGAGAAAGAAGGCTTGAAGCTAAGGAAACAGGACTCCAAGTAGGCCCTGACGCTCATCCTCTGTATAAATTCATAAGGAGCTTGTGAGAACACAAGATTTTGCTGAACACATTAATACAATTTATTATCACAATCCTCAAAACACCCCATAATATCTTCAATGAGCTGAATTTTTCAAGCCCAGAATGGTTTCTGTAGCTCAAAGTTTGTGGGTGGAGATAGGTGGTGAAGCAGACACATATTAACTGTGTGTACAAGCAGCTGAATTGCAAGGTAGACCTCATAAAGCAACAAGTACAAGAATGTGTGTGTGCGTGTGTGTGTCTCGTTAATGACTGCATCCTAAACAGCTGTGAGATCAAAGGCAAATCACTGACCTACTGTTTGAATGAGAAGCAGCTGAACTGCAGAGGATTTAGAAGCCTCTGAACTTCTTCACATAGCGTGATTTCCTTAAGTCCCAGAATGAAAATAAGAACATCGTACGAATCCTCCGCCCTTCATGAACACAATGATGTCTTTTTCATGTCTGTACTCCGAAAAATGTGGCCACAACAGCGAGTTAAAAAAGTCTGAGCCTGAGTGACGATAAGGATTTTCTTGGAGAAGAAATACATTAGGGCCAATGGGGAGATATTTGCGCCTATCTGGACAGTTGGTCACCTGCTGGCCAAGGGGTACGATTTAATGATTTGAAACCTCTTTTGTGAGAAGCAGGACACATATACCTCCATTTTGATGTATTATTTGTGTCAGTGGAGTGAGATTTGTGGGCGTGGGAGCGATATATTCGAGCGAGGTTCTGTCGATCAGAGACGAGGTCTGCACTCTAGCTGATGACATCATCACTCTAAACTCTCCAATACACACCCATTATAAAGCTTGAAATTAGCTGAAAACCACAAGTTGCATAAAGCTAAATTGTGGAAAAACTGTAAAAGATATCAAAAAACTGAGTACAACTATAATAGTCGACAAGTGAATGAACATTTTAAAGCAAAAATGAGGTCTCTAGGTGAAAGTATGCTGAAGTTATAAGGTCTAGAAGGTGGAAGAATGAAAGGAAGAAGTTGAAGATTTCCCCATTGACTTCAATGTTAAAATTTTTGCACAAAAAGTTAAAAAAAACAAAAAGTATAAAGGGTAGAAAGAAAAAAATAATACCATCATGTCCTGAAGGAGTGGAATAGTTTAAAGTTTGAACGGTTGAAATCGGACAAAGTTTGAAGGAGGAGAAGCGCGGCAAAAATCGGCGGAAGAATAATAATAATAACTAGAAAAATTGCATTTCCTTGCAGAAAATGCGTGGAAATGCTGAGTGCTGAAAACTGAGAAGCCAAGCATGCAAAACTGTGAAAAATATGGAGGAGAGTATAAATGAAAAAACTGTTAAAGGGGTGAAGTGTAATAAGTAGAAGTTGTGTGAATGTTTCAACCGTAACAGAACTGAAGAAGAGGATGATGAAAAAGAGATGAGTTGTATGGATGTAAAAACACGGGGAGAGGTAAACCAGAAGCTGTATGAATATTCAGATTGCTAAAGAACTGAACTTGAACATTACAGAAAATAGGGTAAAGAATTTTAAATATGGCTGAAAAGGCCTTCATTTTGGAAGAAGTAGAAATGAATGTAAATGAGACATGAACACATTACACAAATATATTTAATTTAAAATTTGCATCAACTTAAAAAATTCAAACTGAGTTTTTACAAAAGTAAAACCAAAAGAAAGAGAAAAAGAAAAATATTTTTGTCAATCCTTTAACATTTTGTGAGCAATGAAAAGATTAATCCTAAAACATTAAAAAAAATAATTTAAAACAAAACATCAAAACATGAACACAAAGAAACAATGTTCCATAGTGACTTAAATCAAATCATAAACAATTTGTTTGTGAACAGATTTTGGAAGCAGAAATCTTTACATGGGTGACCAATCTGTCTCTTAAGCCTGAGGTTTTAAGATTGTAGTTGCTGTGATTGTTGATGGACAAAGGTATCACATTTTCAGTTGTTTCTAATATTGTTCAGCCCAATCATTAAAGGCTCTTCACACGGCGGTTAGACTGAGGCTAACACCCCATTATTTACTGGATTCAAACTCCAGCAGCCCTGGACCCACATTCACCTCGTTTCTTGTGTTTTCGGATTACTAAGCCTTTAAAGTTGGCTCATAAAATTTGTCATGGCCCATTAAGCCAAGTCCTGTGTTGTGGGCTTTAAAAACAGACCTTGAAATTTGATTTCAAAGTCTGATACAGGACTGTTATGCATGTTTTTAAGGGTTTAGATTAGCCTAAGACTAAGTTTGCACATCTGCAAAACCTTTATTATACCTATACATTAAAAAAGTATATGAAAATGGTGACTTGAGAGTTATAAAAAAAATAGTTACTAAAATCGGTCAGCAGTATAACAACATAAATGTGAAACACAACAAGTATAGAATAAATGTAAAATAATGTGAAGGGTAAGGTAAAGAATGCAAATGCAAATAATGCAAAGTTATCCAGGCTTGTGGAAATATACAGGCAAAGTAAGGTGAAAGGCGTATGAATTAAATACGGCATTGTAGTATTTTTTAAAGCTAACTGCAGTGAAATGTGGGCAAAAAGAAAATTATAGAATAATAAATAATTATAATAATAAATAAAATTAAATGATATGAAACTGAAACTTTAAACAAAATCTAAAATGATCAGATTAAAAAGTAGATTTGATGACTTGAAATAAATTGATGTAATGAATTGGTCCACCTTACCACCAAAAGGCTTTTCACAGTAGACCAAGGCTAATACTGTCATCAGCTCATTGTAGTGGACTGACAAGCTGGTCAGCAAAAATAACTCAGCAGTTTACTGTACAGTGAATTACAGAAGTCTTTTACAGAAATAAATTTTTTTTTAATTGAATCTAAATTTAAAATTTAAAATAATGTGGAGGGTAAGGTAGAGAATGCAAATGCAAAAGGTGCAAAGTCATCCAGGCTTGCGGAAATATACAGGCAAAGTAAGATGAAAGGTTAATAAGTTAAATATGGCACTGAAGTATTTTTTATAGCATGTACTGGTCCACCTTACCACCCAAAAGGCTTTTCACAGTAGTTAGACCAAGGCTAATACTGTCACCAGCTCATTGTAGTGGACTGACAATCTGGTCAGCATTTTAGATCCCAGTGTTTACTTATCCAAACATTCACACTACTTGTCTTACTGAAATGCTGGGTTGTCTTCACGTTGATAGTTTCTTTTTAAAAAGTTTTCTATTATGGAGAATTACATTTTAAGGATAAGCATAAAAACTTTGTTCCTCTATGAAATCCCTTCACACAGCTCGTTTAACCAAGCCCTGTGTTTGAGGATTGTGACGACAACCTTCAGCAGGGATTGTTTCACACTGTAGTGCTGGGATCACTGCTGTCCAAAATATTAGCCCAAGACTAAGCACACGTGAAAAACCTGCAGTGTACCTACCAGCTGAAACCCAAAGTACATCATTTATTTCTAAAACACGACTTCTCTTGTAGGTAAATTTGAGGGATATGGTGAGCATATTAAAGCGAGAAATTCAGCTGCCTGCAACAACTGAAGTAACTGGTATTTTTTCCCTTCATAAGTGTTGGTCATCTTTTGATATAAGGACAGATACACAGTAAAAGGGGAAGAAAATACTAAAATAAAATAGAACAAATAAAGTCCAAGAAACATAAAGGAAACTTAAAATATTAACAGATATTGACAACCGATCACTTAATGTAGAAAACAGGATTCAAAACAATAAAAGAGTAATAGTTGTCCTGTCCTGAAGACAATCAGTCAGTTCCTCAAGTGAGTACTGTGTTCTGTCTGGGCACTTTTTTCAAAACCAAAAGCAGAGCCTGGTACAGTTCAGAGTGAAGGTTTAGAGTGAGGTAATGTTTTGACCTTTGACCTGTGGTTGTAGGATCGCCGTGTGCAGTTATCAGTGTTCGAGTTGACAGCATCACTGGAGTCAGAGGCAGGAGGAGGAGAGGTCTGAAAAAAACAAACAAAATCCCCTTCACTTTAACTCTGTAATCCTGTGCTAACAGTAATTCTGTGCTTTTCTATGTTGGTCAAACATGGTTTTTGTTATGGGGCAAGGAAATACACCGTTACCTCGGGGAAAGTTTAAAGCTGCAGTAAAGATAAACTGATGATCTGAATGTGTTGACATCTGCTGCAGCTTGCTTCATAGGGCTGCAGGACTTGAAGGATCACCATTAGTAGGACTCTGCTGAGCTGCACTGGCTACACCGTGGATGAACAGACAGTGACTTGAAGTAGGAGAATGTAGCTGGTTCAAAACAGGAAATAAACAGAAACATTTGTGTTGATAATCTGTGAAACTAAACACGTTGAATAAATACACACATCATTACAATGAATACCTTCAGCACTGCAGCAGAGCAAAAAATATTTCTGTCCAAAACCACTTCACCAGGTCTGCAGCAGCAAAGCTTCCTCACACAGAGAGGCTCAAGGCTCAGGGTGGCTGCATGATGTCTACCTTTGGTGTGTTCAGCTGCCTGAGTGTCTAAGCTGTTCTTCCTCTCTTAACTGGCTTGAAGAAGACCTGGGAGAAAACACTGCTGTTAAAGACAATGATATCAGCAGAGCTGTACAATAGCGTCACAAGCATTAATACAGCAGCTAAGATAACTAAGAATAAATAAATGAACACAAGTTCACCAAGACATTACCTTAGACTTTCTTGAAGAGGGGTTTATCTCTTGGAGGTTCAGCAGGAACGAGCCCAGTGAGTGACAGGTACTACAGCATCAGTTCTGCTTCAGCCTGGTGTCTGGTGGTCCTTGAGAGCTGCTTCAGGACATCTGGAGCACGAGCAGGTAAAACACATGTTTGTGTAGTCCATGAGAGAACAGTCCTGGTGGGTGCTGCAGTCTGTCCAGCACAGCGATGATGGTTGTTGAGAGCAGCAGGGGGATGGTGTGGAGGATGTCATCTCTTCTTCACCTCCGACCAAAGACTGGGTTAAACAGCAGGTAGACTGTGTCTTTGAGTGGTCCAAAGTGATGTGTTTACTTCTGGTTGACAGTTTGATAATTTTTTACCGCTCATATGTGAGCTAGTCAGGACAGCACTAATGGTCAGGTCAAAGATGGCAGAGACAACTGAAGAAGAAAAAAAAATACCCAAACAAAAGGAAACTTAGATTTACTCTACTGTACCTACAGGTGATGTGTTTACTTTTGGTTGACAGTTTGATAATTTTTTCAGTTTACAGTGAGCTAGTCAGGATAGTGCTAATGGGGGTCAGGTTAAAGATGGCAGAGACAACTGAAAAAAAAAATAATAATAATAATAAAAAATTAAAACTAAAAACATACCCAAAGAAAAGGAAACTTAGGTTTGCTCTAGTGTACTTACAGCCACCCATGCTAAGAGAGTGGTGTAAAGTTGGGTGGAGAAAAGGGGGGTTTCAGCTGGTAGGTCACAGAACATCAGAAAGTGTGTGTTCATTAGGGAACACACACTTTCTGATGGAGGTTTTTAATTTTTGCTGCTGTATACATTATTGTACACAGCAGCTGAGAGTTTTGGCCTGTGCATTTATCAATCCGCACCCACCCTCCCTATGTCCAGTCAAGTCAAGTTAATTGGATTAACTTGACTTGACTGGACTTGATAAATGCACAGGCCAAAAATTGTCATTTATAACATTTGAATAGTTGGAAAATTTTACAACCTGAAAAATATATTCTTTCTAAAAATTCTGAGCCATAAAAATATTTTTTGCACTAGTAAAATTCACAATCACCAAACACATTTCAATCTGTACTGAAAATATGAGCAGAACATTAGCCACAGCTTCTGTAGTTTGTCTTTCCCTTCAGAGCAGTTTCCTCTATGACCTGTTGGATGAAATGACACAGTAAGTTGCGTTGTGGTAACTGTAGTAGGTCTGCACGATACCTAAGGAGAGACATAGCTGAGGTCGTGAGATGAAAATCAGGTCCAGCAGTGTGTTCTTGTCCGTTGTTCCAGCAGTGATCAGTTGACCATATCCCTTGGACTGAAAGAAATCCAAAATTGGCTTACTTGCATTAGAAAAGAGATTCTCATTGAAGTCGCCACAGACAATGATAGGATGACAGTCCATGATCTCAAGTGAGTCCAGAAGGCTTCCCAGATTGGACAGGAATGATGGCACACTGTAGTCTGGAGGTCTGTACACAGCTGCAATCAGAGCACTTACAGGAGATTCAACCTTCAAAGCCACAAACTCAAGGTCAGTCACATTGTTCAGGTACTGTTTCTCCACAACCTGCAAGTGGTTTTTCACATAAACAGCGACTCCACCACCTCCTTTACTGGCCATCTGTGGAAAGTTAGTGTAGGACAAATGTCTGTTGCGTTTGAACATGGTGTAGCCCTCAAACTGGAGACTGTCTGCCACAAAGGAGCCCTGTAGGTGAGTTTCTGTCAGACACAAAACATCTGCAAGACACAGTTCATGATGGCTTTTGATGTCATTCACATGAGCAGGTAATCCTTCGGTGTTGTGATGAATGATGCTCACAGTGTCCTGTCTGCTGAGAGAATGCTGGATCTGGAGAAAAGGCATGAGGTGATCAAAGTTAGCTTGCGTCATGGTCTCCAAAGATACAGTGACTGCAGGGTTAGCATGGATTTTACTCTCATCCAAATCAAGCATGTACAGTCCGCTGAGGGAGGTCACTCGACTGATAGCTACATAGGCCATGCCGGGCTCAAAAATGTGCTTCAGAGAGACAACAGTTGATTTTCTGGTCATACCTTGAACCTTGTGTATCGTGCATGCAAAGGCAAGTTTCACAGGAAACTGTCTGCGTACCACTCCTTTCTGTTGCAGAGCCTCCTCAGATCTCTCGATGTACACAAGATTGTCTCCTCTAGTACGATAGCTCCTGCCAGCTGTTTCATCATCCATCCTGAGACCAAGCATAGTGACAAGAGCAGAACCGTTGTTTTCAGAGCTTATGAGACGGCCTACTGTAGCAAATGATCCGTTCACCAATCCTTGAGACACATCAATGTTTCTGGTAAGCATGACTCTAGCACCTACTGCAACATCTAGTGTGTCAGGTAGATCATTTCTGCTTCCATGACATGGTGCACCTTGTCTTTTCATGTGTCCAGTGTGTGGGTCTTTTTTAAAGTCATCTGCATCAATGGTGGTGATATCAGAATGGAGCAGAGATAGTGTAGCAGAGTTGTGTTCTGCGACTTGTTTGTTTGTAGCAAAAATGTGCAGGACATCAGAGGGACACAGTTGTGGTTCAGTGACACGCTGTGACAGCAGAGCTCTGTCAGCTTCAGAAAGCTCATCTGACCTTGTTTTCACACGGAGTCTGTTCAGCATCTCGGCAAAAGTTTTGTCATCCTTCTGTCGCATGATCTCATCTAAAGTGATCACCTGGAAGTTGTCTCTCCAGAGGTCAAGTTCACTTGGATCATAGACACAGAGTGGTTTGGACTGTCGCACAGGCGGTAGCTGGTAAAAGTCTCCCACAGCAATGACTGACATTCCTCCAAAGGGTCTGTGGCTGCCTTTAATCTGTTTCAGTCTCATATCCACATAGGCAAAAAGTGGCTTTGACACCATGGAGATTTCATCAATGATGATGATTTCAGCGTTTAAAAGCTCACACCTGATTTCATCAAGTTGGTTCCCAAGACCTTGAAAAGGAGGTTTCAAACTTCTGGGCAGCTTGAGGAGAGAGTGCAGTGTTGTTCCAGAGATGTTAAAGGCTGCAGTTCCGGTGAAAGCAGTCAACAGCACAGTCGGGTTTGAGATGTCAGCTTCCTCTGCACGTCTAGGTAGTGTTCTCAGAATCTTTGATGCTTCTGAATGAATGCATTTAATGAGATGTGACTTTCCAGTGCCAGCACCACCATTGATGTAGTAGAAAAACTGCTCTGGTTGTGGTCCACAGACTCGTTTTATGCACCAGTCTCTCACTGCATAGAACACACATGCCTGTTTCTGGTTCAGACTCTGATACATTTGTCGTAACCGTGTGGGATCGATTGTAGGGGGCTCTCTCATGACTCTAGCCTCTGTAGCAGCATTAGCTTGTCTACTGTAATCTGGTACATCCTCTTGGACATTTTCACACTGTCTGGCATCCAGTTCATCGATACACTCCAACCTCACCAGTTCAGATTCAGGTGCCAAATTACACCATTCATCGACCACACCTCTGTTCTGTTCAAAGTCCTCGAGAGCAGAGTCAATTTCCTCACTGTTTTTTTCATATCTCTCTCTGTTTCTTTTCACGATGAGTTTCACACTCAGGGGTCGGTCAGAATACGGCAGCTGAACCACACCTCTCTCATAGAATGACTCATACGTGGGAAAATATGGTCTTTTCAGCTCATCGTCTGATCTGTATGGAAGATACAGTCTAAGCAATGTGCTGTAAAACTGCTCAGGGTATTTCTCTTTCGATATGCGGCGATACCTGATGACAGCAGCATTGTCACTTTCTCGTCTCTGTATGAAGCCTAGTTCATTCAGCAAAGGTACCACTTTCTTGCCCTTGGTCTGTTTCCCATACACCAGTCTGCAGGTAGAAGCAAAATCAGCCATGCACATCTCTTCAAACTCTGGTGTTTCAGGTCTGGATTTGTACTTGTCTGTTAAGGATGTCATCCACACATTCAAGCTGTCTGGTGTTGTGTTGTCAAGGCTTGACACAGGCAGACTCATTTTCACTGGGTTGTCATCAGTTGGGACAAAAACCACACTGCGTGAACTCTTTTTCATGTTCAGTGAAGTCACTCGGGCAACAGCTTCTTGTGCTGATACTTCTCGTTTTTTGGAATACGCCTGCATGACCGCTTTCATTTCATCACATTCATTGACACATTCTCTGTCGGAGTTCTGAATGAGTGTTTGCAGGTACTGGCTCACAGAGTTCTCACTTTTACACATGTACGTACATATGTAATGGATCAGACTGTAGTAGCTGAGAATGAACTGCACATCAATGTTTGCATCCCAAGCTTTGAGCAGGTGAGGGTTGTAGGTGTTTACCCAGCAGTCTTTTGGCTCACGCTTCAGAATGATGTTGCTGGACTGACTCATCACATTCATGTGTTTCTCATACTCATCAGCGGTTAAGTCACAGACAGACAGGAGCTGTTGAAAACTCATGGATTCAGTTTGTGTCTCATTCAGCAGCTGATTCAGTGGTGCAAGTTTCTCTTTGGCTCTCTTAAGTCTCTCTGACTCCTCATCATCACCCACAGGTCTTGTTATCATTGTCTGTCTGGAGGGTGGTTTTGGGAATCCAAATCGGCATCCAGAACTTGCACTTTTGAAACATGTCTTTGAGTGGTTCTTACTGTGTATTTGCACTTCTTTGACCTTTTTGTACAGTTCAGGCTGTTTGTTTGGGTCAGGGAGCTGAGCAGAGATGTGTTTGGACACAAAGTCACACACAGTTTTGTCAGAGTCTCTCTCAAACACAGGTGCACCTTCTACCCACAAAAGACCATGTATATGAGGACTTCCTCTGTGCTGAAACTCGAGACGCCAAAAGAAGTCAAAAACTTTGCCCAGGGGTTGTGCAGGAGACATGATCAGATCTCTGTACAGTGCTTCAACACGCTTATCAAACATGCGCATCGTTGTCACAGGATTGCTTCTCAGAATGTCACACTTTGTGGACCAGTCGAGCTCTTCAAAATTCACCTCCTCACCTTGTTGTAATTTTATTGCAATAATCACCTCAGGCCAACGCATTTCTGCTGCAGAAAATGTGACAAAGAAAGTAGGACTGCCCAACTGCCTGATCATAGCAAACAGATCTTTTGTAGTTTTGTCCCAGTAGGCTGGTGTTCCTCTGAGCGGCTGCATAAATCTGATAGCATCTCTGTTTCTCACCAGTCTCTCCACTTCGTATTTGTCTCTCAACATTCTGGATGTTATTTTACGTCCGTCTCTGGTCAAAGGTTTGCCTTTGCGTAACTGTATTGACATGCTGGAGGTAGCCAAGTGTATTTCAGTCACAAACTGTGCAAAGAACAGGTAGTTGGTATCTTTGGCAAAGCGATCATCAACACCAAAGAGCCTTGCTTTAAAATAACTACTGGGTGATAGTTTCATTGGTCTGTTTTCATCCAGTGTATTCTCACCAGTGGGAAACTGAACAGGAAACGCCATGGCCTCTAGTTTGGGTGTTTTGAAAAAACTGACTGGATTGTTTCTCTCTGCTGGAGCAACTGAGTATGTGGAGTCACTGAAACACAGTATCTCCTCAGAAACATCACGTGGCTGAAGGCATGACTCCAAAACAACACCACCATTAGATATGTCTGCATCTGCATCCTGTTGTTGTGTCTGATCATCATTGTCCTGGGTCTGACTTTTATCACACAGCTCTGTGTTTTCATCCTCATTTTCAACATTAGTTTCAGCCTCATACATGGCAGCAGCCTCAATTCTATCAATTTCCATCAAATCCTCATCATCATAGTCGTCATCATTCATTGTAATATCATTACCATCATCCTCATCCTCATCCTCATCACCATCATCAGGAAGTGTGGGGTCACATAACTCCTCCTCATCTCTAATAGTGATGTCTTCATACTGGGGGTGTATCTCTTTCAGTTTATGCAGAGCCTGCACTAGCTTGGACCAGGTAACAGTCTGAAACAGATGGTGACCTCTGTAACTCAAACGTCTCTTCAGTTTTACTCTCATCACCTGAGACTCATTTCTCAATCTGGGTAGAGCCTGAATTGTTTCCTGGACTTCAGAGGGAACACATACAACATTACCATGTATAGCTCTCTGTCTGCCTTTGGGAAGAGGAATGATTTTTGCAAATGTTATGCACTTTGCTATCAGATGTCTCTCCAGTATGTTGAGGTCACACAGCTCAGGTGGTATGTCAGCAAGCTCCAAGTTGTTTGCTATGGCAAGTTTGGGCATGACTCCATTTTTCAGATGGTCATGGCAGGTGTGACAAATCCACTCAGTCTTTCTCTCATCAGGGACAGTGCACTGGTTTCTGCAGTTATCATTACACTCATGGACGTACTGACCTTTGAGACAAGCTGAAACCATGATTGGATTTTTCACATAGTTGGACCTCTTGCACTTTTGCACTTGGTTTGGAAATGAGGCTTTGTGACAAACCGTACAAATATAGGTGGGACCAGCTTTAATGTGTAATCTGAAAATATTTATGGCACTCTCAATCAAAGGGTTTTCAATCTCTCTGACAGTCTTGCATATTTGTTTACTTATCTGTTTGTATTTCGTTGATATTTTCAATGCACATCTGATTTTATACATAGTCCTGTATGGAAGATTTGTCTTATACCTGTCTCGCATTATTTGTCTCATCAGCTGTCTGTGTCTGTGACAGAATGTTTCATCGTTTGCATATCGATGATTGAAGTAGGATCGCTGTCTTCGGCGGAAATTAATGTCCTCTGAGTATTTCTTCCTGAAATATTCTTTTCGTCTGCCTTTGAAATCAACATTTTCTCCATATTTTTTCCTGAAATATTCTTTTTGTCTGCCTGTAAATTCAACATTTTCTCTGTATTTTCTTTTTATATATAATTTTTGCTTTAGTCTGAAGTCTGCGCTTTCCCTGTATTTAGTTGTGATTTTTTGTCTTTTCTTTGTCTGTATTTCATGATTGTCTGAATATTTGTTCCTTGAATAAGACTTTTTCTTTGTCTTATATGTCTCATCCTTAGTATACCTTTCTCTCTCTTTCCTGTTTTTATCCTCTTTCTTTTGTGATGTCTTTTCAGATCTCATTTGTCTCCTCTTAAATTTCTGTTTTTGCTGTTTGTTCAATTTTGACAGTTCACTAGAAATGTCATGGAGGACATTGTCACTGGTGACAGGGATATTTATTAATAGTTCAGTCAAATTTGATTGTGTCTCCTGAGATTCCTCTAATGTGACAGGATTATTGCTGATTGGACCTGGTTGATGAGCTTGTGTTTCCATCAAAGTTGAGACTTTCTGTGATGTGTCATGACAGTCATCACCTACAGTAGTGTTCATCTCCAGAACGAGAGATTCAGGACCAGTTAATGGGACAGAACATTGGCTGAAGTTGATCAGTGGTTCTGGTTCGGTTTCCATGTCATGCTCAGTGTTTTCATGGACATCAGTGTTCATTTGTGGAGCACTTTTGTCATCATTTATCACACTGGTTGTGACAGAGGGACTTGTGGACGGACTTCCTGTGGTTGGGATAGCATCACTTGGGTTCACATTATAAAACACAACTGGCTTAAGCTCATAGGTACATGACGCTGCTGTGCCCAATATGCGGTGATACCTGATGAGCCTTTCAATCATGTCACTGAGGCGTGTGAATGTTACCATGACAGCAGTACCAGGAGTAGGCGTGGCCTGAAGCAGAGGCAAACCGTTAGCTGTCCGAGCATGTGGGTCAAAGAAACCGTACCTGCCATCTCTGGTTCTAAAAACTGCAATGCACAACGAAGTCATTAGCAGCAAAGCATACTGCACATCTGTTAATAAGCAGCTCAGTCCCATCTCGAGGTCCAGAAAGGTATCAACAGCGCTGGGATCCGGATCTCCAAACGTACCGTATCTAGACAGCTGTAACTTGTCAACAGTCTGCGTGTGTCTGCGTGCAGGAACCTGTTTAGGGAGTTCATCTGTTGTCAGATGGGCGTGATCAACAGTTTTTCTGATTTCTCTGTACATCACATCACCTTTATCCAAAACACGGTCCAGATCTGCTCTGGTTATGTGTTCGTTCTCATACAGGAATGCTAGAAATGTCAGTGAGTTACAGGTGCACTGCTGGTTTCTGGATTGGCCGTATTTCAGAGACGCTTGGCTGCGTGACGCACAGACGTTTTGTTCACCTGACTGATTAACAGCATTAATATTTCCTGCCTGAGAAGAGGTTGCTACAGACTGATAATTACGGTGGTTAACAGTGTCTGCATGCAATACCTGGGTTGAAAATGGCTTGTCAGTTTGGGCTATGTAGTTCATCTGACGAGAGTTGGACGGACCGGCAATACATGACACACGAGGAACTTTTCTCTTCAACATGTCAGCATATGTTACCTGTTGTGCACCTGGATCATTTCTTTCACATCTGTGGTTTACCTGTCCAGAGTTAGATGGACCTGCTGCAGGTGACTCACTCACGTCTGCATAAGATGCCTGTGGTTGATACGATGCACTTGGACCTCCCTGTTTCACAGCATCAGACACTTCAGACCTCTTTACCTCTCCATTGCTCTGAGGAACACAATCTGCTTGTCCAGTACTCACAAATTCAATGTCATGAACCCTCTGCCAGCGCTGGCTTGCAGCCTGTGACTTCTTACTCTTCCTTGGCATTGTAACTATTCGTTCACAACAATGTGTTTATGCAACAATTAAATTACTGATAAGCACCAGTAAAGACAAAAATGCTTTATTTCTTCAAGAGGACGTTATTTAACAGCTCTTATAGTCTCAAAAAAATACAATTTATAACTATGTGTATACCACAATAGTTTATCAAATGTTTTTTAAGAAACTCCTACACAAGACGATACAAATGTTTTCAGAAAAAACACAAATCAACAATTTTTAAATCTTAGAACTTTGTGCTTGAAATAATATCTAACTCAAAAATTCTATATGGAAATTTTTTTTTCTTTCAAAATCAGGGATGCAGATGTGGTAGTGCTGATGACACTTCTGATGAAACTCTGGATCCACACACAGGAAAGGAGGACCTAAAACAACAATCAGACTTGTGCAAAATTAGGGATTTTTCAAAGTAGTGGCTGTATAAGAAGTACAACTGTTTCAAAAGGTTTCTCAAAAATGGTGTTTCAAAAGGATTCTCAAAAATGGTTTACAAAAAGGTTTATCAGAGGTTTTCTCAAAAGTGGTATTGTAAAAGGTTTATCAAAAGGTTTCTGAAAAAACTGTTTATCAAAAGGCTTTCAAAAGGTTTCTCCAAAATTGTGTTTCAAAAGGTTTATCAGAAGGTTCAAAGGCTTGTTCCAGAAAGGTTTATGACGATGGCAATTTCAAATGGTTTCTCAAAGGATGGCAATTTCAAATGGTTTCTCAAAGGCTTGTTCCAAAAAGGTTTCTCAAAGGCTTGTTCCAGAAAGGTTTCTCAAAGGCTTGTTCCAGAAAGGTTTCTCAAAGGCTTGTTCCAGAAAGGTTTCTCAAAGGCTTTTCAATTAGACAGAGTGGTAGATGAGACAGGAAAGTCAGAGTAACCAAACTTAGCCAGAGGGATAGAGACAAGGGGGACACAAGATAGAGTGGCTTTTTAATCAGACAGAGCGGTAGAGGAGACAGGAAAGTCAGAGCGGCCAAAAAGATAGGGGAGTGGGGAGACTGGACACGATACCTGTAAGACACAATGAAAACAAACATGAATCATTTTTTATAAAAGAAATAAAATGAACCAACATCCACCCAAAGCTAATGTCATTATTATGTGCTTTTACTTAACCCACCATATGGCTATCCTTAACTATACATCTATCAAAAGCCAAGTTGAGTCAAATTCTGGAATTGACCATTGCCCTGTTTGATAACCCATCAATCAAATTAATAAGAACTAAAAATCCAAAGTGCTCATACAAGTCTATTAAAAATGTATTTAAGGTAAGGAGAACTTTATTTTTTCCCTGAAGGGAAATTTGATTGTTTGTAGTCTCATTTGTCATAACTCAAAAAGTCATCTACTATTTTTAAAAGAATTGTTAAGTCTGATGGCTGTGGGTACAAAAGATCTTTTGAATCTTTATGTCCTGCAGTGAAGAGAGAAGAGCCGTCCACCACCATAGGCCTTTTGGTCCACCAAGGTGTTGTGAAGTGGGTGATCCATGTTCTCTTGAATAGCCTCCACCTTCCTCACAGTACATCTCTCCACCACATCCTACAGTGAGTCCAACTTGAATCCAACCACAGAGCCACCTTTTTAAATTTAGGACCTCAAAGTATTTTACAAAAAGTTCTATTATCCCTGTGTATTTTAGACTCTTTACTTTAAGTTCCCTTTATAATGTTCATAACCATGTCCTGGTAAGCAAAAGTAACAATGGATTACTCTGCTGATAAAATATTATGTATTTTGGAGAAAGTAATTTCCTTTAGTGTGTTTTAAGTATTCCAACAATGTAAAAAGTAGTAATGAGGCCAAGCACCTCCATGAGCTGTAAACAGAAGTATGCAAGGTACCTTAGAAGGATATACACATATCTAAACATAGGATTAAATGAATAATAAAATAAATCAATGGCTGCATAAATAATGATTGTCTATTCCATATTAAAGAACATTAAGTTAGCTTGTTTTTTTTAATATGAGAGATGCACAAAGGAGGGAATCACATTCAATTAGTAATTATTTGGATTTTCATCGTTAAAAAGTTCCAACTCCACAATTTAATAGTAATAAATTGCTTTCCAGGGATTGGAAATGAAATGCAAATAAGTGTACTGCATATTACATTCAAGCTGTTCATTTCCAACTGTGAGTATTACATAATCAAAGGAAACAAATTGTTAAGTTAGGACATGATGAGGGGTCCATAATGTGTTGAATAATGGCACACTGTCTTATTCATGAAAGTGTCATCCCTGTGTGAACTTACGTCGAGTCGCCACAAAGCGGTCTGCACTTGGAGACAGGACAGAGTTGGCAAAAAGGAAAATGGAAAAATAGAGACAAGAGATTTTTCGTTTAATTGTAGAAAACCAGCACATCTCACTGCATTGCAGTTTCAACTGTAATCAGCCGGCAAAATTAATTGTTATTTAAAATGGTTTGTGTTACAATGAAAATGTGTTGCAGTTTGTCAAATAAGAACATAATGTCAGGTTTTTACATATGTTTAAAAAAGTAACAGTGTAAACATTTTTAAGTTACTTTATTTGTGAACTTACAGCTGAGTCACCAACAGTGAACAGGGCCAGCAGTAGAGATAGCATCGAGGAGTTCAGGAGGGAAAAGAGGGACAAAAAATAAATAAATTTAGTTGCAAAAAAATCAGCATCTTATAGTTTACTGCAATCACATCTTTTCACTGCGGATCATTAGTTTTCTCATTTCTTATCAAAGTCTACAATTTGTTGCACTTGATTAGTAAAAGGATGTTACTGCAGCTCCCTTGGCCTGTAAAAAATGTTTGTTAAAATGGAGAGAAAATGCACAAACACAATGAAGGACCGCTTCACTTTCTACTTTCTTATGCAAGTTATTGAGGTGAAATACAAAACAGTGAAATATAATTATAAACTACAGAGCAAAAATGTAACATTTAAGTGATTGCCCAATAAGTATATATATACCATCAGGTCCATAAATATTGGGACGTCAACACAATTCTCATCTCTCTGGCTGTAAACACACCACAATGGATTTGAACCAAAACAAACATGGTGTGCTTTGACTGCAGACATTCAGCTTTAATTTAAGGGTATTTACATCCAAATCAGGTGCACGGTGTAGGGCAAAGAAGTGGAATGTTATGAAATGGCCAAGTCAATCACCTGACCTGAATCCGTTTGAGCGTGCATTTCACTTGCTGAAGATAAAACTAAAGAGAAAATGCACCAAGAACAAGCAGGAACTGAAGACAGTTGCAGTAAAGGCCTGGCAGAGCAACACTAGGGGTGAAACCCAGCGTCTGGTGTATCTATGCCTCCTAGACAGCAAAGGATTTGCAACCATATATTGAAAAGTGAAAGTTTGATGTATGATTTTTGGTTTGTCCCAATACTTTTGGTCCCTTAAAAAGTGAGAGGCACATATACAAACTGTTTTAATTCCTACACCTTTCACCTAATGTGGATGTAAATAACCATATATTAAAGCTGAATGTCTGCAGTCAAAGCACATCTTGTTTGTTTCATTTAAAGTCAACTGTGGGGGTGTTTACAGCCAGAGAGATGAGTATTATGCTGATGTCCCAATATTTATGGACCTGACTTTAAGCGTGAACTTACACTTCAGAGTTGGTAGGGATTTTCGCCCAGGTCAGAGGACAAGTTGAGGCAGGAGGAGGGGGGAGAGGGAGGGAAAGAGATTTTTAATACACTAAAAAAAACACTTCACTCAAAATTTATCTGAATGATTTTCTCACTTAATTATTGTCACAATCACGATTCAGACTTTCGCCAGCATTTTTTTTAATAAACTAATTCAGTAGTGTAGTAATATTGTTAGCACACTATTGTCTTCTAGGTAAAAACTGTATCCCATCTATGATTTTCACATAGGATATACAACAGTGTTACAGATAGATCAACATTTCGTATCAATTTAAACTCAGTACTTGAAAAATGCATCATATGTTGTAGATTATCTTGAATGATATGTTGTTTAACAGGATTAAGCTAATCATTAATCCAGTTATTTTTATTTTGTTTGTTGTCAGTCTTGGTCAAAACACTTATACTTACCAACAAATGCACTGGGAAGGATGTATCTTCTGTTTGTTTGAGACAAGAAACACTACATTAGTGTTGCCTGACAGATAGTACATAGTACAGACCTATAAAGAAAACTAACATTATTACAGTAGTTGGGCTAATTGAAAACTAAACAGCTCCAACAGATCACCTGGCTGTTAGCTGCAGCTGAAAATGTCACACATAATACATACTGTATTAAAGTATATATACCTCAGATAAAGTATCTTTGCTGTGGTGTTAGTACATCACCAATATCCAAATTAACAGCTTGTTATCAAAAGTAAATTAGGTACAGTAGAAGGTGAAGTTCAGTAGCAGCCAACAAGACAGAGACAGACCTGGAGCAGGTTCACCAACCTCAAGGCAGCTAACTCTCCATCCTTCAACTCAATATTAAGATAAGAACTTAATAGATCCCGAAAGGGAAATTCAACAGGAATATATTTATTAATTGGAACTTTGTATTGTTAAACATTAAATACTGAATTCATTTTATGTTTTGCAATGTAAATACCTCTATCATCCCCATCATGAATAAAACCTTCAATAATAGAGGACCATCTAGTTCCATTCTGACACATAAAAAAAGAAAAACCACTCAGATTTGTGCTATACCTGGATGCTTGCTAAATGCAGCCTGTATTTTAATACATCTACAATGGCTGATAAAAAGTGACCAGGAGCTAAACAGCTGACGTCTCCAGACCAGTTCCCCAGCAATGACTCAGTCACAGTAATGAACTGAACCTGTAGCAATGGCGTTAGCGTCATTAGTTAGCTACTTAGTCAGTTAATACTTGACAATATGAGTATTCTTGTCAGTCCCATTGTCAGTAAACTCCACAGCCTGTACATCATTTGGCATGCTTTATAGTACCGCAGCAGCTTACATATTCACTTTATTTTGTGCTCAGCTGGCTAATGATTCAGCCTCACAGCTGAAGGTATGTTAGCTTTAACGTTAGCTCGACGCTAGCGGCGCTAACTCGACGCTAACAGCGTTAGCGTACGCTTTTCCAACTCATTATCTCGACCACTTCAATCATGAATGAACTCTTCATTGGTTATAACTCAAACCAGTGCCGTTTGAAACATTAAACCACCGTTTGAGGTGTTCAGAAGTTGGAGAGACTGTGCTCTGACTCACCTTCGTTGAGGTCGGAGAAGGATAGCGTGAGCCACCCGTGAGTCACGGTAGAAATGTTTGAGGCGTTCAGGGACACTCGGAAATGTCAGACTTCACACGACGGAAAGGCAGTGGTTCAATCAATTTATTTTAATTGTTTTCTAGTACTAATAGTAGCAAGACTAGTTGAAGTAGAAGTGATGTTAGTAGTAGTTGTAGAAGTGGAAGTGGGATTTTGTTTGAAGAATTGAAATATGCATGAATAGTAAAAATGATTTAAAGTGGGGAAAATATAACTAATAAAAAATCCTAAAGTATTAGAAAGGTTTGAAGAATCAGAGAGGTTTGAATAAGAGTGAGTTTAAATTTGTTAGAAGAATTGAATAATGCAGAAATAATGAGAATGATTTTAAATTAAGGACAATTTAAATGAATAGAAATCCTCTGTAGACTCCATAATGTCCTCAATGAGCTGAATTTTTAAAGCTCTAAATGTCTCTGTATCTCAAAGTTTGTGAGAGAAGATAGGTGATGAAGCAGACACATGGTCAAAGTGTGTTCAGGTCTCATAGACAGAGAGAGACTCACGCATGCACATATTTACTGTGTGTACATGAAGGTCTCATAGAGAGAAAGCGGCAGATGCACACACATTGTCAGACTGTGTGTGTGTCTCCTTAATGATTTAATCCTAAACAGCTGTGAGATCAAACGCCTACTGTTTGAATGAGAAGCAGCTGAACTGCAGAGGATTTAAAGCCTCTGAACTTCTTCACATAGCGTGATTTCCTTAAATCCCAGAATGAAAATAAGAACATCATACGAATCCTCCGCCCTTCATGAACACAATGATATGTTTTTCATGTCTGTACTCCGAAAAATGTGGCCACAACAGCGAGTTAAAAAAGTCTGAGCCTGAGTGGCGATAACGATTTTCTTGGAGAAAAATAACATTACGGTCAATGGGAGAGATTTCCGCCTTCTTTGGACAGTTGGTCACCTGCTGGCCAAGGGGTACGATTTAATGATTTGAAACCTCTTTTGTGAGAAGCAGGACACATATACCTCCATTTTGATGTATTATTTGTGTCAGTGGAGTGAGATTTGTGGGCGTGGGAGCGATATATTCGAGCGAGGTTCTGTCGATCAGAGACGAGGTCTGCACTCTAGCTGATGACATCATCACTCTAAACTCTCCAATACACACCCATTATAAAGCTTGAAATTTGCTGAAAACCACAAGTTGCTTAAAGCTAAATTGTGGAAAAACTGTAAGAGATATCAAAAAACTGAGTACAACTGTAATAGTCGACAAGTGAATGAACATTTTAAAGCAAAAATGAGGTCTCTAGGTGAAAGTATGCTGAAGTTATAAGGTCTAGAAGGCGGAAGAATAAAAGGAAGAATTGGAAGATTTCCCCATTGACTTCAATGTTAAAATTTTTGCACAAAAAGTTAAAAAAATCAAAAAGTATAAAGGGTAGAAAATAGAAAAATAGACGCAATAATGTCCTGAAGGAGTGGAATAGTTTAAAGTTTGAACGGTTGAAATCGGACAAAGTTTGAAGGAGGAGAAGCGCGGCAAAAAACGGCGGAAGAATAATAAGTTTAATAAAGAACAGAATAACAATAAGTGGAAATGCTTGATCAGCATTTCCACTTAATAAGTGGAAATGCTTGATCAGCATTTCCACTTAACTAGAAAATGCAATTTCTGAAGAAATTGCGAGTGGGATTGCTTCAGTTGAAATTGCTATCGCTACGCTGCTATTGCGAGTGGCTGAATTTTAAAATATGTGAAAGGTCAAAAGGTATGAAGTATCAGGAAGATTTGAATCAGTTTGAATAAACTCTGTTGAATGAATTGAATAATGCATGAATAATAATTTTAAAAATTCAACGTTTGAAAATTAAAATGATTAAAAACCCTGAAGTATGGGAAAGGCTTGAAGAATCAATAAGGTTTGAATCAGTTTAAATGAGCTGTAATTTGTTTGAAAGAACTGAATCATGCATTAAGATTAAAAAATGATTTAAAACTGGGAAATTAAAAGGTTACAAATCTGGAAGAAAAAAAGTCTTGAAGAATCAAAACGGTTTAAATCAGTTTGAAGGAGTTTAAATTAGTTTGAAGAATTAAATAATGCATTTTCAATGAATGATTGAAAAATGGGGACAATGTAAATGAATAAAAATCCTGATTAGACCCCAAAATGTCCTCAATGAGCTAAATTTATTAAGCTCTGAATGGTTTCTGTAGCTCAAGGTTTGTGCGAAGAGATAGATGACAAATTTCGTCAAATAACGCTATTGAAGGGTTTTAAATGTCACCCCCAGTACTCTGTGTACTGAGCCTGGCTTCATGTGTCTCATATGGCTGTTAGAAGCAGCTTTCCAGCCAGCTGTGTGTCTCCAGGTGCGCTTATTGGTTGCCATGGTGACGATAGATGCTTAACAACAGCAGGAGAAAGGAGGCTTGAGGCCGAGAACGTAATGCCCAAACAACGTCATATTTCTCATCCTCTGTAACTGCTGTCTTCATGATAAGGAGCTTGTGACAACCACAAGGCCCGGCTGAACACATTGATACAACTTCTGTGTTTGTGGAGCCAAAAATGCCTTTGCTACGACAAGTTAAAAACATGTCCAGTTTGTGTTTCCTCTGAAAATCCTCCTCTCAGGTTTACATTGGAGTCAATGGAGAAAGCTGGAGAAATCTGGGGGATGTCTGCGGCAGTTGGTGTCTGCCCGGGCCACTGTGTGTGTCCTATGGCTTTGATTTTTTAGATGAAGAGTGACAGCGAGTTTTGCCATCACTGTACCAAATTTTATCTGTGTAGAGCGAAGTGAGTTGCCACAATCCTTTTGTAAAGACAAAGTTTTGAGGATCAATTTTCAGCCTGTCTCACTCTAGCTGTGAGGTCACCCACTCTAGCGGCCAACATTCCGTGCAATACACACTCATGTTAAAACCTGAACAGGTTAGAAAATCTTTGGACTTTTTGAACTGTCACTGTGAGAAAAGTATGAATGCCATGAAGATGGTGAATGAATGAGTGAATGTCTGAAGATGTGTGAATATTTTAAAGTTTGAATGAAGTTTCTAGGTGAAAGTATGAATGAATGAGAAGAGGTTGAAGTTGACTACGTCTGAAGCCCTTTTCCCATTGACTGCCATTATAACGAAGTTTTAAACTAATCTTTATATTTTGAAAAGTACAAATGGGATTAAAAATGTTGAAGATGTGGAATAATGCTGACGAATTTGTGAATATTTTGGTTTTTGAATGAAGTTTCTACGTGGAAGTATAGAGGAGTTGAAGGCTTTTGAAGTTGTGTGAAGAAAAGGGCCAATTTGAACATTCCGTAATGCATTTCTAATGGGAGAAATCGGTCGGAAAACCTGGAATATCTTGGAAAGTATGAATGTTAGGAAAATTTTGAATACACCCCTGAATGTCCTCAATGAGATGAATCTTTTGATGTTTGAATGGTTTGAATATGTTGAAGTATGTGGAAGTAGTTGAGGGCCAAAAAACGGTGGAAGTTGATATAATAATAATAAAGATATGAATAACATATAGTGGGAATGCTTTGCATTTCCACTTAACTAGAAAAATTGCATTTCCTTGCAGAAAATGCGTGGAAATGCTGAGTGCTGAAAGACGAAAAAGCAATGCTAAACTGCCAGTAATAAATGGAGAAGGTATAAATGAAAAAACTGTTAAAGGGGTGAAGTGTTATAAGTAGAAGTTGTATGAATGTTTCAACCGTAACAGAACTGAAGAAGAAGATGATGAAAAAGAGATGAGTTGTATGGATGTAAAAACACTGGGAGAGGTAAACCAGTAGCTGTATGAATACTCAAATTGCTAAAGAACTGAACTTGAACATTACAGAAAATATGGTAAAGAATTTTAAAGATGGCTGAAAAGGCCTTCATGTTGGAAGAAGTAGGAATGAATGTAGATGAGAAATGAATACATAACACAAATATTTTTAATTTAAAATTTGAATCAACTTGAAAATTCAAATTGAGTTTTTACATAAGTAAAACCAAAGCAACGAAAAAAAGAAAAATATTTTTGTCAATTCTTTAACATTTTGTGAGCAATGAAATGATTAATCATAAAATATAAAAATAATAATTAAAAAAAAACATCAAAACATAAACACAAAGAAATAGTGCTCCATAGTGCCTTAAATCAAATTATAAACAATTTGTTTGTGAACAGGTTTTGGAAGCAGAAATCTTTACATGGGTGACCAATCTGTCTCTTAAGCTTAAGGTTTTAAGATTGTAGTTGCTGTGATTGTTGATAGACAAAGGTATCACATTTTCAGTTGTTTCTAAAATTGTTTAGCCCAATCATTAAAGGCTCTTCACACAGTTGTTAGACTGAGGCTAACACCCCATTATTTACTGGATTCAAACTCCAGCAGCCCTGTACCCACAGTCACCTCTTTTCTTGTGTTTTCGGATTACTAAGCCTTAACAAAAGTTGGCTCATAAAATTTGTCATGTGTGTTGTGGGCTTTAAAAACAGACCTTGAAATTTGATTTCAAAGTCTGATACAGGACTGTTATGTGTGTTTTTAAGGGTTTAGATTAGCCTAAGACTAAGTTTGCACATCTGAAAAACCTTTATACCTATACATAAAAAAAAAATATGAAAATGGTGACTTGAGAGTTATAAAAAAAATTGTTACTAAAATCAGTCAGCAGTATTACAAAGTATTGCAAAGTTATCCAGGCTTGTGGAAATATACAGGCAAAGTAAGGTGAAAGGCATATGAATTAAATACGGCATTGTAGTATTTTTTAAAGCTAACTGCAGTGAAATGTGGGCCCTCTCATGTAGAAAAAAAAGAAAATTATAGAATAATAAATGATTATAATAATAAATAAAATGAAATGATATGAAACTGAAACATTAAACAAAATCTAAAATGATCAGATTAAAAAGTAGATTTGATAACTTGAAATAAATTGATGTAATGAATTGGTCCACCTTACCACCAAAAGGCTTTTCACAGTAGACCAAGGCTATTACTGTCATCAGCTCATTGTCATCTGCTCATTTGTTTGCAAAAATAACTCAGCAGTTTACTGTACAGTGTGGTACAGAAGTATTTTACAGAAATTAAAATATATATTTTTTTAATTAAATCTAAATTAAAAATTTAAAATAATGTGGAGGGTAAGGAAAAGAATGCAAATGCAAAAGATGCAGTCCTCCAGGCTTGCGGAAATATACGGGCAAAGTAAGGTGAAAGGTTAAAAAATTTAAATATGGCTCTGAAGTATTTTTTATAGCATGTATTGGTCCACCTTACCACCCAAAAGGCTTTTCACAGTAGTTAGACCAAGGCTAATACTGTCATCAGCTCATTGCATCTGGTCAGCATTTTAGATCCCAGTGTTTTCTTATCCAAACATTCACACTACTCTGTCTTACTGAAATGCTGGATTGGGAACTTTGTTCCTCTATGAAATCCCTTCACACAGTTCGTTTAACCAAGCCCTGTGTTTGATGATTGTGACGACAACCTTCAGCAGGGATTGTTTCACACTGTAATGCTGGGATCACTGCTGTCCAAAACATTAGCCCAAGACTAAGCACACGTGAAAAACCTGTAGTGTACCTACCAGCTGAAACCCAAAGTACATCATTTATTTCTAAAAACACGTCTTCTCTTGTAGGTAAATTTGAGGGCTATGGTGAGCATATTAAAACGAGAAATTCAGCTGCCTGCAACAACTGAAGTAACTGGTATTTTTTCCCTTCATCAGTGTTGGTCATCTTTTGATATAAGGACAGATACACAGTAAAAGGGAAAGAAAACACTAAAATAAAATAGAACAAATAAAGTCCAAGAAACATAAAGGAAACTTAAAATATTAACAGATATCGACAACCGATCACTTAATGTAGAAAACAGGATTCAAAATAATATAAGAGTAATAGTTGTCCTGTCCTGAAGACAATCAGTCAGTTCCTCAAGTGAGTACTGTGTTCTGTCTGGGCACTTTTTTTTCAAAACCAAAAGCCGAGCCCGGTACAATTCAGAGTGAAGGTTTTGAGTGAGGTAATGTTTTGACCTTTGACCTGTGGTTGTAGAATCACTGTGTGCAGTTATCAGTTTTCGAGTTGATAGCATTACTGGAGTCAGAGGCAGGAGGAGGAGAGGTCTGAAAAAAACAAACAAAATCCCCTTCAGTTTAACTCTGTAATCAATACAATTGATTGTAGGATCACCATTAGTTAGCTGCACTTGCTACATCGTGGATGAACAGACAGTGACTTGAAGTAGGAGAATGTAGCTGGTTCAAAACAGGAAATAAACAGAAACATTTGTGTTGATAATCTGTGAAACTAAACATGTTGAATAAATACACACATCATTACAATGAATACCTTCAGCACTGCAGCAGAGCAACTTCACCAGGTCTGCAGCAGCAAAGCTTCCTCACACAGAGAGGCTCAAGGCTCAGGGTGGCTGCATGATGTCCACCTTTGGTGTGTTCAGCTGTCTGAGTGTCTAAGCTGTTCTTCCTCTCTTAACTGGCTTAAAGAAGACCTGGGAGAAAACACTGCTGTTAAAGACGATGGTATCAGCAGAGCTGTACATGAATGAACACAAGTTCACCAAGACATTACCTCAGACTTTCTTGAAGAGGGGTTTATTTCTTGGGGGTTCAGCAGGAACGAGCCCAGTGAGTGACAGGTACTACAGCATCAGTTCTGCTTCAGCCTGGTGTCTGGTGGTCCTTGAGAGCTGCTTCAGGACATCTGGAGCACAAGCAGGTAAAACACATGTTTGTGTAGTCCATGAGAGAAGGGTCCTGGTGGGTGCTGCAGTCTGTCCAGCACAGCGATGATGGTTGTTGAGAGCAGCAGGGGGATGGTGTGGAGGATGTCATCTCTTCTTCACCTCTGACCAAAGACTGGGTTAAACAGCAGGTAGACTGTGTCTTTGAGTGGTCCAAAGTGATGTGTTTACTTCTGGTTGACGGTTTGATAATTTTTTTCTGCTCATAAGTGAGCTAGTCAGGACAGCACTAATGGTCAGGACAAAGATGGCAGAGACAACTGAAGAAGAAAAAAAAAAAATACCCAAACAAAAGGAAACTTAGCTTTACTCTACTGCATCCACGGGTGATGTGTTTACTTTTGGTTGACAGTTTGATAATTTTTTTCAGTTTACAGTGAGCTAGTCAGGATAGTACTAATGGGGGTCAGGTTAAAGATGGTGGGGACAACTGAAAAAAAAAAAATAATAATAATAATAAAAAATTAAAACTAAAAACATACCCAAAGAAAAGGAAACTTAGGTTTGCTCTAGTGTACTTACAGCCACCCATGCTAAGAGAGTGGTGTAAAGTTGGGTGGAGAAAAGGGGGGTTTCAGCTGGTAGGTAACAGAACATCAGAAAGTGTGTGTTCATTAGGGAACACACACTTTCTGATGGAGGTTTTTAATTTTTGCTGCTGTATACGGTATTGTACACAGCAGCTGAGAGTTTTGGCCTGTGCATTTATCAATCCGCACCCACCCTCCCTATGTCCAGTCAAGTCAAGTTAAATGGATTAACTTGACTTGACTGGACTTGATAAATGCACAGGCCAAAAATTGTCATTTATAACATTTGAATAGTTGGAAAATTTTACAACCTGAAAAATATTTTCTATCTAAAAATTCTAAACCATAAAAATATTTTTTGCACGAGTAAAATTTACAATGACCAAACACATTTCAATCTGTACTGAAAATATGAGCATAACATTAGCCACAGCTTCTGTAGTTTGTCTTTCCCTTCAGAGCAGTTTCTTCTATGACCTGTTGGATGAAATAACACAGTAAGTGGCATTGTGGTAACTGTAGTATGTCTGCACGATACCTGAGGAGAGACATAGCTGAGGTCTTGAGATGAAAATCAGGTCCAGCAGTGTGTTCTTGTCTGTTGTAGCAGCAGTGATCAGTTGACCATATCCCTTGGACTGAAAGAAATCCAAAATTGGCTTACTTGCATTAGAAAAGAGATTCTCATTGAAGTCGCCACAGACAATGATGGGATGACAGTCCATGATCTCAAGTGAGTCCAGAAGGCTTCCCAGATTGGACAGGAATGATGGCACACTGTAGTCTGGAGGTCTGTACACAGCTGCAATCAGAGCACTTACAGGAGATTCAACCTTCAAAGCCACAAACTCAAGGTCAGTCACATTATTCAGGTACTGCTTTCTCCACAACCTGCAAATGGTTTTTCACATAAACAGCGACTCCACCACCTCCTTTACTGGCCATCTGTGGAAAGTTAGTGTAGGACAAATGTCTGTTGCGTTTGAACATGGTGTAGCCCTCAAACTGGAGACTGTCCGCCACAAAGGAGCCCTGTAGGTGAGTTTCTGTCAGACACAAAACATCTGCAAGACACAGTTCATGATGGCTTTTGATGTCATTCATATGAGCAGGTAATCCTTCGGTGTTGTGATGAATGATGCTCACAGTGTCCTGTCTGCTGAGAGAATGCTGGATCTGGAGAAAAGGCATGAGGTGATCAAAGTTAGCTTGCGTCATGGTCTCCAAAGATACAGTGACTGCAGGGTTAGCATGAATTTTACTCTCATCCAAATCAAGCATGTGCAGTCCGCTGAGAGAGGTCACTCGACTGATAGCTACGTAGGCCATGCCGGGCTCAAAAATGTGCTTCAGAGAGACAACAGTTGATTTTCTGGTCATACCTTGAACCTTGTGTATCGTGCATGCAAAGGCAAGTTTCACAGGAAATTGTCTGCGTACCACTCCTTTCTGTTGCAGAGCCTCCTCAGATCTCTCGATGTACACAAGATTGTCTCCTCTAGTACGATAACTCCTGCCGGCTGTTTCATCATCCATCCTGAGACCAAGCATAGTGACAAGAGCAGAACCGTTGTTTTCAGAGCTTATGAGACGGCCTACTGTAGCAAATGATCCGTTCACCAATCCTTGAGACACATCTATGTTTCTGGTAAGCATGACTCTAGCACCTACTGCAACATCTAGGGTGTCTGGTAGATCATTTCTGCTTCCATGACATGGTGCACCTTGTCTTTTCATGTGTCCAGTGTGTGGGTCCTTTTTAAAGTCATCTGCATCAATGGTGGTGATATCAGAATGGAGCAGAGATAGTGTAGCAGAGTTTTTTTGTTAGATTTGTTTGTTTGTAGCAAAAATGTGCAGGACATCGGAGGGACACAGTTGTGGTTCAGTGACACGCTGTGACAGCAGAGCTCTGTCAGCTTCAGAAAGCTCATCTGACCTTGTTTTCACACGGAGTCTGTTCAGCATCTCGGCAAAAGTTTTGTCATCCTTCTGTCGCATGATCTCATCTAAAGTGATCACCTGGAAGTTGTCTCTCCAGAGGTCAAGTTCACTTGGATCATAGACACAGAGTGGTTTGGACTGTCGCACAGGCGGTAGCTGGTAAAAGTCTCCCACAGCAATGACTGACATTCCTCCAAAGGGTCTGTGGCTGCCTTTAATCTGTTTCAGTCTCACATCCACATAGGCAAACAGTGGCTTCGACACCATGGAGATTTCATCAATGATGATGATTTCAGCATTTAAAAGCTCACACCTGATTTCATCAAGTTGGTTCCCAAGACCTTGAAACGGAGGTTTCAGACTTCTGGGCAGCTTGAGGAGAGAGTGCAGTGTTGTTCCAGAGATGTTGAAGGCTGCAGTTCCAGTGAAAGCAGTCAACAGCACAGTCGGGTTTGAGATGTCAGCTTCCTCTGCACGTCTAGGTAGTGTTCTCAGAATCTTTGATGCTTCTGAATGAATGCATTTAATGAGATGTGACTTTCCAGTGCCAGCACCACCATTGATGTAGTAGAAAAACTGCTCTGGTTGTCGTCCACAGACTCGTTTTATGCACCAGTCTCTCACTGCATAGAACACACACGCCTGTTTCTGGTTCAGACTCTGATACATTTGTCGTAACCGTGTGGGATCGATTGTAGGGGGCTCTCTCATGACTCTGGCCTCTGTAGCAGCATTTGCTTGTCTGCTGTAATCCGGTACATCCTCTTGGACATTTTCACACTGTCTGGCATCCAGTTCATCGATACACTCCAACCTCACCAGTTCAGATTCAGGTGCCAAATTACACCATTCATCGACCACACCTCTGTTCTGTTCAAAGTCCTCGAGAGCAGAGTCAATTTCCTCACTGTTTTTTTCATATCTCTCTCTGTTTCTTTTCACAATGAGTTTCACACTCAGGGGTCGGTCAGAATACGGCAGCTGAACCACACCTCTCTCATAGAATGACTCATACGTGGGAAAATATGGTCTTTTCAGCTCATCGTCTGATCTGTATGGAAGATACAGTCTAAGCAATGTGCTGTAAAACTGCTCAGGGTATTTCTCTTTGGATATGCGGCGATACCTGATGACAGCAGCGTTGTCACTTTCTCGTCTCTGTATAAAGCCTAGTTCATTCAGCAGAGGTACCACTTTCTTGCCCTTGGTCTGTTGTCCATACACCAGTCTGCAGGTAGACGCAAAATCAGCCATGCACATCTCTTCAAACTCTGGTGATTCAGGTCTGGATTTGTACTTGTCTGTTAAGGATGTCATCCACACATTCAAGCTGTCTGGTGTTGTGTTGTCAAGGCTTGACACAGGCAGACTCATTTTCACTGGGTTGTCATCAGTTGGGACAAAAACCACACTGCGTGAACTCTTTTTCATGTTCAGTGAAGTCACTCGGGCAACAGCTTCTTGTGCTGATACTTCTCGCTTTTTGGAATACGCCTGCATGACCGCTTTCATTTCATCACATTCATTGACACATTCTCTGTCAGAGTTCTGAATGAGTGTTTGCAGGTACTGGCTCACAGAGTTCTCACTTTTACACATGTACGTACATATGTAATGGATCAGACTGTAGTAGCTGAGAATGAACTGCACGTCAATGTTTGCATCCCAAGCTTTGAGCAGGTGAGGGTTGTAGGTGTTTACCCAGCAGTCTTTTGGCTCACGCTTCAGAATGATGTTGCTGGACTGACTCATCACATTCATGTGTTTCTCATACTCATCAGCGGTTAAGTCACAGACAGACAGGAGCTGTTGAAAACTCATGGATTCAGTTTGTGTCTCATTCAGCAGCTGATTCAGTGGTGCAAGTTTCTCCTTGGCTCTCTTAAGTCTCTCTGACTCCTCATCATCACCCACAGGTCTTGTTATCATTGTCTGTCTGGAGGGTGGTTTTGGGAATCCAAATCGGCATCCAGAACTTGCACTTTTGAAACATGTCTTTGAGTGGTTCTTACTGTGTATTTGCACTTCTTTGACCTTTTTGTACAGTTCAGGCTGTTTGTTTGGGTCAGGGAGCTGAGCAGAGATGTGTTTGGACACAAAGTCACACACAGTTTTGTCAGAGTCTCTCTCAAACACAGGTGCACCTTCTACCCACAAAAGACCATGTATATGAGGACTTCCTCTGTGTTGAAACTCGAGACGCCAAAAGAAGTCAAAAACTTTGCCCAGGGGTTGTGCAGGAGACATGATCAGATCTCTGTACAGTGCTTCAACACGCTTATCAAACATGCGCATCGTTGTCACAGGATTGCTTCTCAGAATGTCACACTTTGTGGACCAGTCGAGCTCTTCAAAATTCACCTCCTCACCTTGTTGTGATTTTATTGCAATAATCACCTCAGGCCAACGCATTTCTGCTGCAGAAAATGTGACAAAGAAAGTAGGACTGCCCAACTGTCTGATCATAGCAAAGAGATCTTTTGTAGTTTTGTCCCAGTAGGCTGGTGTTCCTCTGAGCGGCTGCATAAATCTGATAGCATCTCTGTTTCTCACCAGTCTCTCCACTTCGTATTTGTCTCTCAACATTCTGGATGTTATTTTACGTCCGTCTCTGGTCAAAGGTTTGCCTTTGCGTAACTGTATTGACATGCTGGAGGTAGCCAAGTGTATTTCAGTCACAAACTGTGCAAAGAACAGGTAGTTGGTATCTTTGGCAAAGCGATCATCAACACCAAAGAGCCTTGCTTTAAAATAACTACTGGGTGATAGTTTCATTGGTCTGTTTTCATCCAGTGTATTCTCACCAGTGGGAAACTGAACAGGAAACGCCATGGCCTCTAGTTTGGGAGTTTTGAAAAAACTGACTGGATTGTTTCTCTCTGCTGGAGCTACTGAGTATGTAGAGTCACTGAAACACAATATCTCCTCAGAAACATCCCGTGGCTGAAGGCACGACTCCAAAACAACACCACCAATATGCATGTCTGCGTCCTGTTGTTGTGTCTGATCATCATTGTCCTGGGTCTGACTTTTATCACACAGCTCTGTGTTTTCATCCTCAGTTTCAACATTAGTTTCAGCCTCATACATGGCAGCAGCCTCAATTCTATCAATTTCCATCAAATCCTCATCATCATAGTCATCATCATTCATTGTAATATCATTACCATCATCATCATCATCCTCATCACCATCATCAGGAAGTGTGGGGTCACATAACTCCTCCTCATCTCTAATAGTGATGTCTTCATACTGGGGGTGTATCTCTTTCAGTTTATGCAGAGCCTGCACTAGCTTGGACCAGGTAACAGTCTGAAACAGATGGTGACCTCTGTAACTCAAGCGTCTCTTCAGTTTTACTCTCATCACCTGAGACTCATTTCTCAATCTGGGTAGAGCCTGAATTGTTTCCTGGACTTCAGAGGGAACACAAACAACATTACCATGTATAGCTCTCTGTCTGCCTTTGGGAAGAGGAATGATTTTGGCAAATGTTATGCACTTTGCTATCAGATGTCTCTCCAGTATGTTGAGGTCACAAAGCTCAGGTGGTATGTCAGCAAGCTCCAAGTTGTTTGCTATGGCAAGTTTGGGCATCGATCCATTTTTCAGATGGTCATGGCACGTGTGACAAATCCACTCAGTCTTTCTCTCATCAGGGACAGTGCATTTTCTGCAGTCATCGTTGCATGCATGGACGTACTGACCTTTGAGACAAGCTGAAACCATGGTTGGATTTTTAACATAGTTGGCTCTCTTGCACTTTTGAACCTGGTTTGGAAATGAGGCTTTGTGACAAACTGTGCAAACATGGGTGGGACCAGCTTTAATGTGTGATCTGAAATCATTGATGGCACTTTCAATAAGAGGGTTTTCACTCTCTCTGTCAGTCTCATGTGCTTGTTTACTTATCCGTTTGTATTTCTTTGATATTTTCAACGCACATCTGATTTTATGCTTTGTCCTGTATGCAAGATTTGTCTTATACCTGTCTCGCATCATTTGTCTCATCAGCTGTCTGTGTCGGTCACGGAATATTTCATCATTTGCATATCGATGACTAACATAGGATCGCTTTCTCTGTCTTAAATTAATGTCCACTGAATATTTTTTCCTGAAATATTCTTTCTGTCTGCCTTTAAATTCGACATTTTCGCTGTAATTTTTGGTGATATATTCTTTTTGCTTTAGTCTGAAGTCTGTGCTTTCTCTGTATTTAGTTGTGATCTCTTTTCTTTTCTTTGTCTGTATTTCAGGATTGACAGAATAGTTTTTACTTGAATAAGACTTTTTCTTTGCTTTGTATGTTTCATTCTTAGCATACTTCTCTCTCTCTTTCCTGTTTTTATCTTTTTTCATTTGTGATGTCTTTTCAGATCTCATTAGTCTCCTCTTAAATTTCTGTTTTTGCTGTTTGTTCAATTTTGACAGTTTACTAGAAATGTCATGGAGGACATTGTCACTGGTGACAGGGATAGTTATAAATGGTTGTGTCAAATTTGATTGTGTCTCCTGAGTTTCCTCTTTGACAGAATTCATGCTGATTTGACCTGGTTGATGAGCTTGTGTTTCCATCAAAGTTGAGACTTTCTGTGATGTGTCATCACTTACAGTAGTGTTCATCTCCAGAACGAGAGATTCAGGACCAGTTAATGTGACAGAACACTGGCTGATTTCGATCAGTGGTTCTGGTTCAGTTTCCATGTCGCATTCAGTGTTTTCATGGACATCAGTGTTCATCTGTGGAGCACTTGTGTCATCATTTATCACAGTGGTTGTTACAGAGGGAGTTGTGGATGGACTTTCTGTGGCTGGGATAGCATCACTTGGGTTCACATCACAGAACACAACTGGCTTGAGCTCATAGCGACAGGACGCTGCTGTGCCCAATATGTGGTGATACCTGATGAGCCTGGCAATCATGTCACTAAGGCGTGTGAATGTTACCATGACAGCGGTACCAGGAGTAGGTGTGGCCTGAAGCAGAGGCAAACCGTTAGCTGTCCTAGCATGTGGGTCAAAGAAACCGTACCTGCCATCTCTGGTTCTGAAAACTGCAATGCACAGTGAAGTCATTAGCAGCAAAGCATACTGCACATCTGATAATAAGCAGCTCAGTCCCATCTCGAGGTCCAGAAAGGTATCAACAGCTCCGGGATCCGGATCTCCAAACATACCGTATCTAGACAGCTGTAACTTGTCAACAGTCTGCATGTGTCTGCGGGCGGGAACCTGGTCAGGTAGCTCATCGGTTGTCAGATGGGCGTGATCAACAGTTTTTCTGATTTCTCTGTACATCGCATCACCTTTATCCAAAACACGGTCCAGATCTGCTCTGGTGATGTGTTCTTTCTCATACAGGAATGCTAGAAATGTCAGTGAGTTACAGGTGCACTGCTGGTTTCTGGATCGGCCGTATTTCAGAGACGCTTGGCTGCGTGACGCACAGACATTTTGTTCACCTGACTGATTAACAGCGTTAACATTTCTTGCCTGAGAAGAGGCTGATACAGACTGATAATTACGGTGGTTTCCCTTCTTAACAGTGTCTGCATGTGATACCTGGGTTGAGCATGGCTTTTCAGTTTGGGCTATGTAGTTCACCTGATGAGAGTTAGGACCTGCTGCAGGTGACTCACTTACACGTCTCCTCTTAAGCACGTCTGCATAAGATACCTGTGGTTGACATGATACATTTTCACCTCCCTGTTTCACAGCATCAGACACTTCAGACCTCTTTACCTCTCCACTGCTCTGAGGAATACCATCTGCTTGTCCAGTACTCACACGGTCAATGTCATGAAACCTCTGCCAGCGCTGGCTTGCAACCTGTGACCTCTTACTCTTCCTTGGCATTGTAACTGTTCTTTCACAACAATATGTTTATGCAACAATTAAAAGTTACTGATAAGCACCAGTATAGACAAAAATGCTTTATTTCTTCAAGAGGACGTTATTTACAGCTCTTATAGTCTCCAAAAAATCTAATTTATAACTGTGTGTATACCAACAATAGTTTATCAAATGTTTTCTAAGGAAATCCTAGGCAAGACTATGTAAATGTTTGAAGAAAAAACACAAATCAACAACAATTTTTAAATCTTAGAACTTTGTGCTTGAAATAATATCTAACTCAAATATTCTATATGGAACTTTTTTTTTCTTTCAAAATCAGGGATGCAGATGTGGTGATGCTTATGACACTTCTGGTGAAACTCTGGATCCACACACAGGAAAGGAGGACCTAAAACAACAATCAGACTTGTACAAAATTAGGGATTTTTCAAAGTAGTGGTTGTATAAGAAGTACAACTGTTTCAAAAGATTTCTCAAAAATGGTGTTTCAAAAGGATTCTCAAAAATTGTTTAAAAAATGGTTTACAAAAAGGTTTATCAGAGGTTTTCTCAAAAGTGGTATTACAAAAGGATTATCAAAAGGTTTCTGAAAAAACTGTTTATCAAGATTTCTCAAAAATGGTTTATCAAAAATTGTTTCAAAAGGTTTATCAAAAGATTTCGCAAAAATGGTTTATTAAAAGGTTTCTCAAAAATTGTGTTTCAAAAGGTTTATCAAAAGATTTCTCAAAATCAGTTTATCAAAAGGCTTCTCAAAAACGGTGTATCAAGAGGTTTCTCAAAAATTGTGTTTCAAAAGGTTTCTCCAAAATTGTGTTTCAAAAGGTTTATCAGAAGGTTTCTCAAAAATGGTCTACCACAATGTCTCTCAAAAAGGGGTTAGCAAAATGTTTCTCAAAATGGTTTATTAAAACGTTTCCAAAAAATGGTGTTTCAAAAGGTTTCTCAAAAGGTAGCAGTTTCAATAGGTTTCTCAATGGAAGCAGTTTCATAAGATGGTTTCTTAATAGAGGCAATTTCAATAGGTTTCTGAAAGGCTTGTTACACTGGTTTCTGAAAGGCTTGTTACAATGGTTTCTGAAAGGCTTGTTACAATGGTTTCTGAAAGGCTTGTTACAATGGTTTCTGAAAGGCTTGTTACAATGGTTTCTGAAAGGCTTGTTACAATGGTTTCTGAAAGGCTTGTTACAATGGTTTCTGAAAGGCTTGTCAATCAGATAGAGCGGTAGAGGAGACAGGAAAGTCAGAGTAACCAAACTTAGTCAGAGGGATAGAGAAAAGGGGGACACAAGATAGAGTGGCTTTTCAATTAGACAGAGCGGTAGAGGAGACAGGAAAGTCAGAGCGTCCAAAATTTAGCTAGAGGGATAGAGCAAAGGGGGACACAAGATAGAGTGGCTTTTCAATTAGATAGAGCGGTAGAGGAGACAGGAAAGTCAGAGCGTCCAAAATTTAGCTAGAGGGATAGAGAAAAGGGGGACACAAGATAGAGTGGCTTTTCAATTAGATAGAGCGGTAGAGGAGACAGGAAAGTCAGAGCGGCCAAAAAGATAGGGGAGAGTGGGGAGACTGGACACGATACCTGTAAGACACAATGAAAACAAACATGAATCATTTTTTATATGAGAAACAAAATGAACCAACATCCACCCAAAGCTAATGTCATTATTATGTGCTTTTACTTAACCCACCATATGGCTATCCTTAACTATACATCTATCAAAAGCCAAGTTGAGTCAAATCCTGGAATTGGCAATTGGCCTGTTTGATAACCCATCAATCAAATTAATAAGAACTAAAAATCCAAAGTGCTCAAACGAGTTTATTAAAAATGTATTTAAGGTGAGGAGAACTTTATTATTTCCCTGAAGGGAAATTTGATTGTAGTCTCATTTGTCATATCTCCAAAAGTCATCTACTATTTTTAAAAGAATTGTAAAGTCTGATGGCTGTGGGTACAAAAGATCTTCTGAATCTTTTTGTCCTGCAGCGAAGAGAGAGGAGCCGTCCACCACCTTAGGCCCTTTGGTCCATCAAGGTGTTATGAAGTGGGTAATCCATGTTCTTTAAAATAGTCTCCACCTTCTCAGTGTACATCTCTCCACCACATCCTACACTGAGTCCAACTTGAATCCAACCACATAGCCAGCTTTTTAAATTTAGGACCTCAAAGTATTTTACAAAAAGAGAAGAATTTTTTTTAACAAAAATTTTTTAGACTCTTAGAAATCATCTAAAGTTCCCTTTATAATGTTCATAACCATGTCCTGGTAAGCAATAATAACAATGGATTACTATGCTAATAAAATAATCATGTATTTTAGGAAATGTAATTTCCTTTACTGTGTTTTAAGTTTTCCAACTAAGTAATCACAACGTAAGGAATCACAATGATAAGTAACTATTTGGATACTCATCATTAAAAAAATTACAACTCCACAATTTAATAGTAACAAATTGCTTTCCAATGATTGGAAATAAAATGCAAATAAGTGTACTGCATATAACATTCAAGCTGTTCATGTCCAACTGTGAATATTACATAATCAAAGGGAAAAAATCGTCAAGTTAGTACATGATGAGGGGTCCATAATGTGTTGAATAAAGGCACACTGTATTATTCATGAAAATGTCATTCCTGTGTGAACTTACGTCGAGTCGCCACAAAGCGGTCTGCACTTGGAGACAGGATAGAGTTGGCAAGAAGGAAAATGGAAAAACAGTGACAAGAGATTTTTATTTTAATTGTACAAAACCAGCACATCTCACTGCATTGTAATTCCAACTGTGATCAGCCAGCAAAATTATTTCCATTTGTTTCTGCATTAGTTAAAATAAAGTGTTATTTAGGTCAGGTTTTTAGATAATGTGTTGTGAAAAGTAACTGTAAAAGTATATTTTAAAGTTACTTTATTTGTGAACTTACAGCTGAGTCGCCAACAGTGAATAGGGCCAGCAGTAGACATAGCGTCGAGTTCAGGAGAGAAAAGACAGGGACAAAAAATAAATAAATTTAGTTGCAAAAAAATCAGCATCTTATAGTTTACTGCAATCACAACTTTTCACTGTGGATCATTAGTTTTCTCATTTCTTATCAAAGTCTACAATTTGTGGCACTTGATTAGTAAAAGGATGTTACTGCAGCTCCCTTGGCCTGTAAAAAATGTTTGTTACAATGGAGAAAAAATGCACAAACACAATGAAGGACCTCTTCACTGAGAATCTACATGGACTCTTCACTTTTTACTTTCTTATGCAAGTTATTGAGGTGACATACAAAACAGTGAAATAAAATTATAAACTGCAGAGCAAAAATGTAACATTTAAGTGATTGCCCAATAAATATATATATACCATCAGGTCCATAAATATTGAGACGTCAACACAATTCTCATCTCTCTGGCTATAAACACCACCACAATGGATTTGAACTGAAACAAACATGGTGTGCTTTGACTGCAGACATTCAGCTTTAATTTAAGGGTATTTACATCCAAATCAGGTGCACGGTGTAGGGCAAAGAAGTGGAATGTTATGAAATGGCCAAGTCAATCACCTAACCTGAATCCGTTTGAGCATGCCTTTCACTTGCTGAAGATAAAACTAAAGAGAAAATGCACCAAGAACAAGCAGGAACTGAAGACAGTTGCAGTAGAGACCTGGCAGAGCAACACTAGGGGTGAAACCCAGCGTCTGGTGTATCTATCTGTCCTAGACAGCAAAGGATTTGCAACCATATATTGCACAGTGAAAGTTTGATGTATGATTTTTGGTTTGTCCCAATACTTTTGGTCTCTTAAAAAGTGAGAGGCACATATACAAACTGTTTTAGTTCCTACACCTTTCACCTAATGTGGATGTAAATAACCATATATTAAAGCTGAATGTCTGCAGTCAAAGCACATCTTGTTTACTTTATTTAAAGTCAACTGTGGTGGTGTTTACAGCCAGAGAGATGAGTATTATGCTGATGTCCCAATATTTTTGGACCCGACTGTAAGCATGAACTTACACTTCAGAGTTGGTAGGGATTTTCGCCCAGGTCAGAGGACAAGTTGAGGCAGGAGGAGGGGGGAGAGGGAGGGAAAGAGATTTTTAATACACTAAAAAAAACTTCATTCAAAATTTATCTGAATGATTTTCTCACTTAATTATTGTCACAATCAAGATTCAGACTTTCGCCAGCAATTTTTTAAATAAATTAATTTAGTAGTGTAGTAATATTGTTAGCACACTATTGTCTTCTAGGAAAAAACTGTATCCCATCTATGATTTTCATATAGGATATACAACAGTGTTACATATAAATCAACATTTCAAATCAATTTAAAGTCAGTATTTGAAAAATGCATCATATGTTATACATTATCTTGAATGACATGTTGTTTAACAGGATTAAGCTCAACATTAATCCAGTTATTCTTATTTTGTTTGTTGTCAGTCCTGGTCAAAACACTTATACTTACCAACAAATGCAGTGGAGCGGATGTATCTTCTGTTTGTTTGAGACAAGAAGCAATACATTAGTGTTTTCTGACAGATAGCACATTAAAAACAATAGGCCTATAAAGAAAACTAACATTATTACAGTAGTTGGGCTAATTGAAAACTAAACAGCTCAAACTGATCACCTGGCTCTTAGCTGCAGCTGAAAATGTCACACATAATACATACTGTATTAAAGTACTTATACCTCAGATAAAGAATCTTTGCTGTGGTGTTAGCACATCACCAATATCCAAATTAACAGCTTGCTATCAAAAGTAAATTAGGCACAGTAGAAGGTGAAGTTCAGTAGCAGCCAGCAAGACAGAGACAGACCAGGAGCAGGTTCACCAACTTCAAGGCAGCTTACTCTCCATCCATTAACTCAATATTAAGATAAGAACTTTATAGATCCCTAAAGGGAAATTCAACTGGAATATACTTATTAATTGGAACTTGGTATTGTTAAACGTTAAATACTGAATGAATTTTCTGTTTTGCAATGTAAATATCTCTATCATCCCCATCATGAATAAAACCTTCAATAATAGGAGGACCATCTAGGTCCATTCTGACACATAAAAAAAGGAAAACCACTCACATTTGTGCTATACCTGGATGCTTGTTAAATGCAGCCTATATTTTAATACATCTACAATGGCTGAAAAACAGTGACCAGGAGCTAAACAGCTGACGTCTCCAGACCAGTTCCCCAGCAATGACTCAGTCACAGTAATGAACTGAACCTGTAGCAATGGCGCTAGCGTCATTAGTTAGCTAGTTGGTCAGTTAATACTTGACAATATCAGTATTCTTGTCAGTCCCATTGTCAGTAAACTCCACAGCCTGTACATCATTTGGCATGCTTTATAGTACCGCAGCAGCTTTCGTATTCACTTTATTTTGTGCTCAGCTGGTTAATGATTCAGCCTCACAGCTGAAGGTATGTTAGCTTTAACGTTAGCCCGACGCTAGCGGCGCTAGCTCGACGCTAGCGCCGCTAACTCGACGCTAGCGCCGCTAACTCGACGCTAGCGCCGCTAACTCGACGCTAGCGCCGCTAACTCGACGCTAAAAGCGTTAGCGTACGCTTTTTCAACTCATTATCTCGACTGCTTCAATCATGAATGAACTCTTCATTGATTATAACTCAAACCAGTGCCATTTGAAACGTTAAATCACCGTTTGAAGTGTTCAGAAGTTAGAAAGACTGTGCTCTGACTCACCTTCGTCGAGGTCGGAGAAGGATAGCGCGAGCCACCAGTGGGTCACGGTATTAATGTTTGAGGCGTTCAGGGACACTCGGAAATGTCAGACTTCACACCACGGAAAGGCAGTGGTTCAATCAATTAATTTTAATTGTTTTCTAGTTCTAATAGTAGCAAGACTAGTTGAAGTACAAGTGATGTAAGTAGTAGTTGTAGAAGTGGAAGTGGGATTTTGTTTGAAGAACTGAAATATGCATGAATAGTAAAAATGATTTAAAGTGGGGAAAATATAACTAATAAAAAATCCTAAAGTATTAGAAAGGTTTGAAGAATCAGAGAGGTTTGAATAAGAATGAGTTTAAATTTGTTAGAAGAATTGAATAATGCATAAATAATGAGAATGTTTTTAAATGAAGGACAATTTAAATGAATAGAAATCCTCTGTAGACTCCATAATGTCCTCCATGAGCTGAATTTTTGAAGCCCTAAATGTCTCTGTATCTCAAAGTTTGTGAGAGAAGATAGGTGATGAAGCAGACACATGGTCAAAGTGTGTTCAGGTCTCATAGACAGAGAGAGACTCATGCATGCACATATTTACTGTGTGTACATGAAGGTCTCATAGAGAGAAAAAGGCTGATGCACACACATTGTCAGACTGTGTGTGTGTCTCGTTAATGACTGCATCCTAAACAGCTGTGAGATCAAAGGCAAATCACTGACCTACTGTTTGACTGAGAGGTGCTGAACTGCTGAGGATTTATAGCCTCTGAACTTCTTCACATAGCGTGATTTCCTTAAATCCCAGAATGAAAATAAGAACATCGTACGAATCCTCCGCCCTTCATGAACACAATGATGTGTTTTTCATGTCTGTACTCCGACAAATGTGGCCACAACAGCGAGTTAAAAAAGTCTGAGCCTGAGTGACGATAAGGATTTTCTTGGAGAAGAAATACATTAGGTCTAATGGGGAGAGATTTCCGCCTATTTGGACAGTTGGTCACCTGCTGGCCAAGGGGTACGATTTAATGATTTGAAACCTCTTTTGTGAGAAGCAGGACACATATACCTCCATTTTGATGTATTATTTGTGTCAGTGGAGTGAGATTTGTGGGCGTGGGAGCGATATATTCGAGCGAGGTTCTGTCGATCAGAGACGAGGTCTGCACTCTAGCTGATGACATCATCACTCTAAACTCTCCAATACACACCCATTATAAAGCTTGAAATTTGCTGAAAACCACAAGTTGCTTAAAGCTAAATTGTGGAAAAACTGTAAAAGATATCAAAAAACTGAGTACAACTATAATAGTCGACAAGTGAATGAACATTTTAAAGCAAAAATGAGGTCTCTAGGTGAAAGTATGCTGAAGTTATAAGGTCTAGAAGGTGGAAGAAAAAAAGAAAGAAGTGGAAGATTTCCCCATTGACTTCAATGTTAAAATTTTTGCACAAAAAGTTAAAAAAATCAAAAAGTATAAAGGGTAGAAAAGAGAAAAGTAATAGCCATCATGTCCTGAAGGAGTGGAATAGTTTAAAGTTTGAACGGTTGAAATCGGACAAAGTTTGAAGGAGGAGAAGCGCGGCAAAAAACGGCGGAAGAATAATAAGAATAAAGAAACAGGAGAATAACAATAAGTGGAAATGCTTAATCAGCATTTCCACTTAATAAGTGGAAATGCTTGATCAGCATTTCCACTTAATAATAATAAAGAAATAGGAGAATAACAATAAGTGGAAATGCTTAATCAGCATTTCCACTTAATAATAAAGAAATAGGAGAATAACAATAAGTGGAAATGCTTAATCAGCATTTCCACTTAATCAGATGAGGTCAAGACGTTGAATTGACGTCACCAATGGTGACCATTGACCTTTCGCGATTTTTTTTTTGGGTCCCGGTAGTTGCAATATTGTTTCAATGTCTTTCAAAACATCCGTACAACTTTCTTTCATTTTTTTAAAAGAGCTATCGAAAGTACCAGGTCTACCAGGTAAATTTCAATGCCGCCTCCAT